CACATATATATACACATATATATACACATATATACATAGACACACAGAGTACACTGAATATTTCATGAGCTTCCCATCTCGCCTTCAGCTTTGGCAGGACAGACTCTAAGGAAGCGAGGACATAAAGAAGCGCCAATGCCCCGCTTTGAACCCCTCCAAGAACCCTTTTCCTCCCGTCCACAACCTCCCTGCCAGGTAGGCCGGGCCAAGATGCCCCAGCCCCACCCCCAGAGAGCTTCCCCACGACCCCTCCAAAGCCGCTTCGCTCACATTTTGTCCTTCTGGTGCTGCCTTTTCCCCATGGCGGCGGCCGGTTTTCCTCCCGCCGCTCCGGACCGAAACCACCCGGCGAGCGTGAACGGCTGCCTGAAATACTCGCCTTCCGGAGAAAGGGCGTCGAGGCTCTGCTTCCGGTTCAGCAGGGTGCGCCGCGTAAAGCAGTCCCCGCCGCGGAAATAAGAAGCTGCCACTTAAGGTTCCGCTTCTTCTTTTGTCGCTTTAAAGTGGTGTTTGTCAACCTTGGTAACGTTTAAGATGTATGGACTTCGACTCCCAGAATCCCCCAGCCAGCATGGACAAGCATGGGTTTTTATTTTTCCAGTAATAAACCTGGATCTCTCTTCAGCTGGCTGGGGAATTCTGGGACTTGAAGTGCACACATCTTAAAGTCGCCAAGGTTGAGAAACACTGCTTTAAGAGGCCTCCTCTGAGCTTTTCTTTTTGTTTTAAAGAAACCTACACAGGGTCGGGGTCTGGTTAGTCCTGGGAGAGGCAACCTTTAGGCAATTCCCAGGGCTGTAGGCTAGACAGCAAGGTTGGAAAAATATCCTGCAAGAAGGCCCTGGGAAGTTTTCTTTCAGATGTAACCAAGACAATTGCATGTGTCTGTTCATGAAGTCATCAGCACTGGCTTTGCTCAAGAGTCTTCATCTTAGCCGCAGCAAGTGACAGCAACTAACCACCCTTGGCTGATCTCAAAAAACAAAACAAAACAACCCCCAAGCTAGATTAACCCTTGGATAGGAGACCACTAGGACAGCCCACAGCTCTAGGCTAGGTTGAGAAGTCAAAGATGCATTTCCCAAACCACTTCCTTATCGTTGCTAAGAATAATGTACAGACATGTGCAAGTTCAGTATGCTCAACTTGAGGGTACCCTGATGTTCCCACTTTGTTCCATATCCATTTTTGGCACAGAAAGGGGAGACTCTACCACTCTTGAAACAGGTTACATTTCCAGTAATAAATGTGGATCTCTCTTTGATGCTTACAGACTAAATATAATGGCCAGATTTTCCAGATCATCAAATGTATAAACTGTTCTTCCTCCACGTAGTTATAATGGATCGCAAACTGACCAACCACGCTTAAGCCTTGTATGGTTTGAGGTTCAGGGCATGTTTGCATCAAATGGGGTTTTTTAAAAAACCAATTTTACAAAACCAAGTGAAGATAGACAGTTTCTTCTCCCTTGAATGCAAGAACCTGAAAGGTACTCCCCAGCATTTTTAAACCAGAGATCCAAGCTGTTAAACTTAGTCCAACCTCTGCCCTTCTGCAGAGTTCCACCTCTCCATTTCTGACTTCATCCTTTTATACCAGCTTCCTGCGTTTCCCAGCCTAGGGCCTCTGGATGTGTTAAGATAATTTCCCACCAAGCAAGTCTAAATGCCTCCACCTACACTCATATGGAGTCTTATAGGTCAACACAGCGTACATACTTGTCCTGTTTGATTTTGGAAGGTCTAATCACAACCGACTCTGGACCCAATTCATTTTATTTAGTCCCTGTTTCATTTTCATCCCTGAAACAATTCAGGACATATAGTGAATTTCCAGGCTGAGTGAGGACTTCGATCTGGATCTCCCCAGTCTTAGTCTGGACAGTAATACACTAGATTTTTAACGTCTTTCCTTGGGACATTTAGATAAGCTTTTAAAACAAATGTGTCTGTCCCCATTCTTCTTTCCATCTGTCAAGTCAATGATCTGACCCACCTCTGTGAAACAACACTGAACAATGCCTAACTCTACAGCATGGCTTTTCAGGAGACTCCCTCGTTAACAAACTAGGTTGAAAATCCTGTTTGGAAATGCCCAACTAGTATTCCTTGGAACTGATACAAACACATCTTTATTACAGGACAGCATTATATGCAGTTGCAAATGAGGAAAAAAAGAAGACGACTTAACAGCAAGTTTATACAGTACATGTAATACTCTGGATACCACCAGACACGTAACATCAGGAAGGCTGGTTACAAGAGTGTTACCTCTTTATGAGATGTGTCATTCATTGGCATAATCTGATACCTCCCTTGCTTTGTGACTGCTTTGGACCGGCGCTACACAGTGACCCATGGTCAAAATAAATGAAACTATCAACCGAAAATGAAGGCTGGGTTCAAGATTTGTTTTCACAGGCGGAGGCCTGTACAGTTTAATGCTACCACAAGCAGCACAAGAACATTCACGTTTGTTCTTAGATCAATGCAATGTTCATTTATTAATGGTACTTACAAAAAAAACCCCGCCCCGCCCCAAAATCCCTTCCATTTTCACCTATCCCTCCCCATTTTGCCAATACCTTTTACAAATAGTTAAAAAAAAAAGACATTTATTTTGGTACAATTGTTCAGCAACGTAGCTGTCATAATTAATGAAGTTACGTTTCATACAACAGGAGGACTTGGGGGAGGGGGGAATTATTGGTTATCGGCCAAATAAAATTCTCATATTACAAGTTAGCAAATTCTAGTATAAAAATAGTCCATTGTGATCGAACAGCCTGTCATTTCTTATTCTTATTCGCAATTAAAGAGTTTGTTGGCTGCATAATTCTTTAGGAACTTTATGATTTTTCTCTTTTATGTGGCTCCTCCTTTATAACCCAAATACAGGAGCCTCCATAAATCCTCAGTAAAGAACCCTGAAACGCGGGCTGCTATGACATTCAGTTTAGCTTCTTGTAATGTGCTTTTCAAAGGATATTCAAAGGCTCACAAACAGTGTCTCTTTGATATCTGTTGTATCAGATCTGGAGTCCAACGGTCTCCTTTGAAGGCCATTCTCTGGCAGCCACAAGCTGTGATGCTCAAATTCTAGGAGGGAACCAAGAAACGCATCCTTTCATCCCCGTATTTTCACACTTTCCTCGTGCGATCTTCTTTAAGAACGACAATAGTTTGCTTGTTAAAAGACCTCAGGCCTGCCTCTTGCCCCGCATTTTCTAGGAGTGTTAGCTTCTGACAACGGACCCTCGACTCTGCCTTAAAGCTTTCCTGCTCTCATATAGGCTGGAGAAACATCTGAGAAGATGCTACTTGTCTTTCAAGATGTCCAGCTGCTCTTGGTATTCCGTGAAAAGCCGCTGGAAACGAAGGTTCTGCCCGATGACGGGCAGGAGTTCCTTGAGCAGGTCGCGCTTCCGTAAGCCCTGCGCCAAAGCAAAGGAACAAAGAAACAAACACAAATGAACATCTCATAGAAGTCAAGGTTTGAGGCCGGACTTCCACCACTTGTCTGCATGGAAATACACTGCAGATCAAACAGAGGGCCCGAAGTCTTAGCTTGCAGCAATTTCTACAGAAAGAGGCTCTGAAAGAAAGCCTCCGGGTACCCAAAACATCGGTTAACAAAACATCATAGTAAAGGCTGCTTCATTTGTAAACACAAATCATCATGGGGCACCACGAAGGGAAACCAGTTTTATCTTTGCCTTCCGCTTTCTGTTTCATCAGAACTATCTAAACGGCGTTAGAAAAAAGCAAAAAAGGAAGGGAAACTGGAGACCGAGAAATCGCATACGAAGCAAAATACAAAGCATGGCCATGATGTAAAGTACAGTGGCTATTCAACAAAGCAATGGGGATCATAAGGAGAACATCCAAGAGTCCTTCCTGGTCAACGGAGCACCAAGAAGCTAATTTGTTTCTGGAAGTGGGATAAGAACCTGCATTTTTAAATTCGGGATAGAAGGGAGAGAGCTACACTGCTCAACAACTTGTAATTCAGACTGGTTTGATTAGGGAGAAGACAAGAAGTACGTTTATTAGTGATTGGAAGCGCTTTATGGACTTTTTTGCTGAAAACGGAAAAGAATGAATTGGTGACTTATGGATTTGATGATTAGAAAGGGAAGAATACAGGAAGAAGAGAATTATGATGTAATCTTAAAGAGGGAGGATAAATTCATTTTAACTGCTGCAAAGAAGATCAGAAGCTTTCTTTATTTTTATACACACACACACTTTTTATTTACTTCGTTTTTTCACTTATTTGTTTTATATCTTTCTTCACTCTTTTTCCCCTATAAATTTACACTGTATGTCTGTCTTTTGTTGTTATAAAAATTCTTTTGATAAAAAATATTTAAAAAATAACTGGTAATTCAGCAGTTTGGTTCCTTTGCTCAAGAACAGCTACTTTAAGAACACGCCCCGAAGAATATTAGGAAAGCAGCTGGAAAGTTGGAATCTTCTCCCAATGATTCTGAAAACTGCCCTTTTCTAATACAAACTCTCACTGCCCAAATTAGGAATGAATCTTGGACTAAATTACGAAGTGCTCCACGTGGCTGGAAGGTGAGCATTGCAAGGCTGCGTGCGTTCAGCCTGGTGCTGAGCCAGAGAGAGAAATATTGGTTTATCGGTTCCAAAAGGAAAGTAACGCTTACCACGACGGTCGATTCCCACTGACTTCCAGATGAAGAGTGGACAGGGCCTAACAAATCTTTGCATAATTCCCTCAGTCGATATTCAAACCCTGGTGAAGACGGTAAGCAAAAGAATACTCATCAATAAAGCAACGCTCTTTCTGACAAATGAAGCCCAATGACGTGCGTGTTTCAAATGTTTAGAGCAGTGTTTCTCAACCTTGGCCATTTTAAGAGGCGTGGACTTCAACTCCCAGAATTCCCCAGCTGG